CTAGAGGTAACAAGGGCGTGAGTGACCATGGCGAGGGCAACCCGGTCTAGGAACGGGCGCAACTGGCGCACAAGACGGACCTGTGCGAAGGCCCCCCTGGTTACGGCCATCAGATGGTCATCTAAAGACAGCCGAGAATCCAGGAGGACACCCAAGTTGCGTACCCTATCGGAGGGAGCAAGGGTTTCACCTCCGATCATTAAGGATGGAACCTCCAGATCTCGGTATGCCGGCATCCACAGCCATTCAGTCTTGGAAGGGTTGAGTCTAAGCCTGTTCCTCCCCATCCAAACCCACACCGCTTCCAGGCAGTGGGACATCACGGAAAGGGCATCCCTAGGGTGGTCAGGGGTGGAGATGTAAAACTGGGTATCATCAGCATATTGATGATACCTCACCCCAAAACCACGGATGATCTCACCCAGCGGTTTCATATAGATATTAAAGAGCAGAGGAGAGAGAACCGAGCCCTGAGGCACCCCACAAGTGAGAGGCCTCTGGGAGGATCCCTGACCCCCCGCCCAAACAGACTGCAGACGGCCCGAGAGATAGGAGGAGAACCACTGTAAAACAGTGCCTCCTAACCCTATCCCCCTGAGCCGCTGCAGCAGGATACCATGGTCGATGGTATCAAAAGCCGCTGAGAGGTCAAGAAGGACCAGGATGGAGGAGCAACCCACATCCCTGGCCCGCCAGAGATCATTTACTAGGGCGACCAATGCCATTTCCATGCTGTGGCCACGCCTGAAACCAGATTGGTAAGGATCCAGGTAGTCAGTTTCCTCCAGGAATTGAGGGAATTGCTGTGCCACCACGGACTCAACAACCTTAGCTAAAAAGCGAAGGTTGGAGACTAGACGGTAGTTGTTAAGTACGTCAGGATCCAGGTTAGGCTTCTTAAGGAGGGGTCGAACCACTGCCTCTTTAAGCGCAGCGGGAAAGACCCCTTCCTTTAGTGAAGCGTTGACAATAGCCTGGATCCAGTCTCCAGTCACCTCCCTGGCTGCCGAAACAAGCCAGGAGGGACAAGGGTCCAGTAAACATGTGGAAGACCCCAGCCTACCCATAATCCTGTCCACGTCATCCAATGAAACAGGCTCAAACTCAACCCAGATGTCTCCACCGAGACTAGGCCCTGTCACCTCAACGGACTCTGTCCAGTTGGAGTCCAACCCGGTCTGAATCTGAGTGATTTTATCTTGCAGAAACTGTGCAAAGTCCTCAGCACGGCCCTGTAAGGGATCCTCCCTCGCTCCGTGATTAAGGAGGGAGCGGGTCACTCTAAACAGGGCTGCTGGGCGATTTTCTGCAGATGCAATGAGAGTGGCAAAATAGTTACGTTTCGCTACTTCCATTGCCACAAGATAAGACCTAATATGGGTTCTTAGTTGTGTTCGGTCGGACTCAGATCGGGAGGATCTCCAACCACCCTCCAGGCGTCTTTTCCGATGAGAAATGAGAAATGCTAACTTACATAGTGTATTGTAAGCATACTTGAGGTAAATCAAGGCGATTAACTGACCAAAACAGGTTCATATGGTTCTTACCATTAGCCAGGAATGTGACTGAATGGGACATGGGTATGACTATAGTTAATATCTTCTGCATCCCTTTTCTGTCTTACTAAAACATTACCTCAAAAGCTTTCAATTAAATGATAAACAGCATGAATAAACACGTGAAATTAAATAACGAAAACTAGATATATCTCTGTGAAACTAAGACAAAGATAGAGGGCTAAAAGAGCTGAGTGAGGATTGTCTGTTCTTGTGGTTTAATTATGAACAAAAGTGCTATGTTATAAAGCATAAATCAGTATCACTTAGATTGCTGTGGGTGCAAATGAAGATGGTACAGTAGCTAAAAACTATTTTTTTCACCAAAGATTCAAAATTAGTTATTGTCATGGAGTTGGAGTAAATAAACATGTTATATGATAAAGTGAACCTATACATTCACTGCAGAAGTCTAACCAAATTCAACAGAAGTTATTCAACCATAGGCACAAATATCATTATTATTATTAATATTATTATTATTATTATTATTATTATTGTTATTGTTATTATTATTATTATTATTATTATTATTATTATTATTATTATTAATTTAATTTGTATACCGCCCTTCTCCCAGAAGGGACTCAGGGCGGTGAACAGCCAAAATTAAAAAAACATACAAATGCAAAAGTTAAGATAATTAAAAGAATTAAATCATTGGCTACCCAAATTTAAAACCCCAAATCCATAAAATTTAAAATCCCAATTAAAAAACCATTTAGGCTAGGCCGGCTTGATGAAATAAAAATGTCTTCAGGGCTTTACGGAAGGTCCGGAGGTCCGGGATCAATCGTATTCCAGGAGGCAGCTCATTCCACAGGGCGGGTGCCCCCACAGAGAAGGCTCGCCTCCTGGGGGCCGCCAGCCGACATTGCCTGACCGACGGCACCCCGAGGAGGCCCTCTCTGTGAGAGCGTATTGGCCGGTGGGAGGTTATCAGTAGCAGCAGGCGGTCTCGCAAATACCCTGGCCCTAAGCCATGGAGCGCTTTAAAGATGAGAACCAACACCTTAAAGCGCACCCGGAAGACCACCGGGAGCCAATGCAGCTCGCGCAGGAGAGGTGTTACGTGGGAGCGCCACGTCGCTCCCATAATCACCCGCGCAGCCGCATTCTGCACCAGCTGGAGCCTCCGGGTGCTCCTCAGGGGGAGCCCCATGTAGAGAGCGTTACAGTAGTCCAGGCGTGACGTAACCAAGGCATGAGTGACTGTGCACAAGGAGTCCCGATCCAGAAAGGGGCGCAACTGGCGTATCAGGCGAACCTGATAAAAAGCCCCCCTGGCCACGGCCGTCATATGCTCTTCTAAAGACTGCCGTGTGTCCAGGAGGACGCCCAAGTTGCGAGCCCCCTCTGTGGGGGTCAGTGACTCGCCCCCAATAGCCAGCGATGGCACCAGCTGGCTATACCGGGACGCCGGCATCCACAGCCACTCGGTCTTGGAAGGGTTGAGCCGAAGCCTGTTCCTCCCCATCCAGACCCGCACGGCCTCCAGACACTGGGACATCACTTCGAGGGCATCATTGGGGTGGTCTGGGGTGGAAATGTACAGCTGAGTGTCATCAGCGTACAGATGGCATCGCACCCCAAAACCACGGATGATCTCACCCAGCGGCTTCACATAAATGTTGAACAGGAGCGGCGAGAGGACCGACCCTTGCGGCACCCCGCAAGCAAGGCGCCTCGAGGTCGACCTCTACCCCCCTGCCAACACAGACTGCGACCGGTCAGAGAGATAGGAGGAGAACCACCGCAACACGGTGCCTCCCACCCCCAGTCCCTCCAGCCGGCGCAGCATGATACCATGGTCGATGGTATCAAAAGCCGCTGAGAGGTCTAACAGGACCAGAACAGAGGAACAACCCCTGTCCCGAGCCCTCCAGAGATCATCCACCAATGCGACCAATGCCGTCTCCGTGCTGTACCCAGGCCTGAAGCCGGACTGGCATGGATCTAGATAGACGGTTTCATCCAGGAACTGTGGGAGCTGTCGCGCAACCACACTCTCCACAACCTTCGCAACAAAGCGAAGGTTGGAGACCGGACGATAGTTTGCCAAAACGGCCGGGTCCAGAGAAGGCTTCTTGAGGAGGGGCCTCACCACCGCCTCTTTCAAGGCGGGAGGCAAGTAACCCTCTCTCAGAGAAGCATTTATGATCCTCTGGAGCCAGCCTCGTGTTACCTCCCGGGTGGCCAGTACCAGCCAGGAGGGCACGGGTCCAATAAACATGTGGTTGCATTTAACCTCCCCAGGATCCTGTCCACGTCCTCAGGAGTCACAGGGTCGAACTCATCCCAGGTAACATTCTCAAGACCAGCCTCAGTCACCCCGCCAGGATCTACCCAGTCAGAGTCCAAGCCTTCCCGAATCTGAGCGATTTTATCGTGCAGATACTGTACAAAATCCTCAGCCTGCCCTTGCAAGGGGTCTTCCCGCGCTCCCTGATATAGGAGGGAGCGGGTCACCCTAAACAAGGCGGCTGGGCGGTTATCTGCCGATGCAATAAGAGCGGAAAAGTGGTTACGCTTTGCCGCTTTTATCGCCACTAGATAGGTCTTAATATGAGACCTAACTAGTGTTCGGTCGGATTCGGAGCGACTCGCCCTCCAACCACTCTCTAGACGTCTTTTCCGGCGCTTCATCTCCCTCAGTTCCTCGGAAAACCAAGGGGCCGGGTCAGAGGCTGCAAAGGCACGACTCGGTCCAGAGCACCGGCAGCTGTCCTATCCCAGGCAGCCACCAGATCTTCAGCCGAGTCGTGTGCCAGAGTTTCAGGAACTGGCCCAAGCTCCCTCTGGAACCTATCAGGATCCATCAGGCGCCTGGGGCGGAACCACCTAGTCGGTTCCGCCTCCCTGCAGTGGGGTGCAGCGGTCGAAAGGTCCAGTCTCAGGAGAGAATGGTCCGACCATGACAGGGGTTCAATAACTATATCCCCTATATCCAGACCACTCCGCCACTGACCAGAGATAAAAACCAAGTCCAGAGTGTGTCCTCCCACATGAGTGGGGCCATGAATTAATTGTGTCAGGTCCATGGCTGTCATGGAAACCATAAACTCCCGAGCCATCCCAGACGTCCCACCGGTAGATGGCAGGTTGAAATCCCCCATGATCAAAAGTCTGGGGGTATCAACCGCAACCCCGGCAATAACGTTGAGAAGCTCGGGCAGGGCCGCTGTCACATGGCAGGGAGCCATTAAAGAAGGCATGTTGAGAAACTTAGAATATGCTTTTAGAAGAACAAGAGAAACTATTTAAAAAACAATAATTAACTGAAGATAGTGTAAAAATATTTAAGAAGCAATAGCAGTTTTAAAAAAGGGATGGAGAAAGAGCGGGAGACTATTAGAATGACTTTTTCTGTGTATCTTTTTGATTTGATCTTTTTGAATGCTCACATAATTTCATTTTTTAAATAATATTTAATAATAGTTTCATTTTAAATCTGTAAGTTTTATTTTACATATGTGTATTTTCCTTTCCTTTTTCTTCATCTTTGCTTTTCTTGTTTATGTTACCTAACTGATAAAAAATAAAACAAGGGAACAAACAATGGAAAGAGTTATGAGATAATTAAAAACAACAGGTAGCAAACTTCAATAGATACTAGCAATATTCTTGTCTTACAACCAGTTATTTAATAACCATTCAAAATTACAATGGGCCCAGAGCAGGTGCTTTCCGGATGTCATGGATATCATGCCACACACACACACACACAAAATCACATGACCATATTTTGGATGCTTAACCCTACCCCTACCCCTACCCTTACCCCTAACCCAGTGATTCTCAACCTTCCTAATGCCGCAACTCTTTAATACAGTTCCTCATGTTGGGGTGACCCCCAACCATAAAATTATTCCTAAAACCATTGAAAATATGTTTTCCGATGGTCTTAGGTGACCCCATGAAAGGGTCATTCGACCCCCAAAGGGGTCGCGACCCACAGGTTGAGAACCATTGCCCTAACCCTAACCCTAATCTGCCCACTCAGAAGAAAAAGTTTGCACTTCTGACTGCAATGCTCACATAATAACTCCGGTGATTCACTTAATAACCACTGCAAAAAAAGTCATTAATTTAGGTCTGGTCAACATGGATGCCTTGGCATACAACCATAATAATTTACAACCAGAAATCTGGTCTCAACTGCAGTCATTAGTTGAGATGTACAATTGTTAGTGTTCAATGTCCAATGTGAAGTACGAATATTATGGTGTGATTAGAGATTGGAAATACAAATGGAAGGGAAGTGAAGAATGCCTCCCTGAGAAAGTTTTTTTCATAATCCTTTTTACTCATCCTTTCTACTTAACTGCTTTGTTTAGCAATGTAGTGACTGTTCTTAGTAATGATGGTGATGAAAAAATAACTTTTATAATCAATCCTTGCATTTATGATCTTTGTGGGTCTATAAAGCCAAGGAAAGCTGAACTAAGATCATAAGCACAGTTGTAGTTTCATTTAGTAACCACTTTGCTTAACACAGTGTTTTTCAACCTTGGAAGCTTGAAGATGGGTGGACTTCAACTCCAGAATCCCCCAGCCAGCACTGCTGGCTGGGGGATTCTGGGAGTTGAAGTCCACCCATTTCAAGCTACCAAGGTTGAGAAACACTGGCTTAACAATTGAATTGCCAATCCATTGTGATTGTTAAATAAGAATTTCTTCTAGTCGTTTTTTTTTTAATTTATTTTACTTTTGCATCTTTATTTTGGTATAACTTTCTTTAAAATGTGTTAAAAGCTTAAGTAAAAAGATAGTTACATATCTCCCAGTGAATAGGGAAAATGAAAGAACTAGATATACTGTAGGTCTTCGAAGAAATTCTGCAATATTCTAAATGAATGTGATCCATGGGGAAAAATTATTCTACCAGGTGACAAAAATAGATACAAGGCAACAGAATACATAAAACATAACTGGGCAATTTGGAGACTCAGAAATGAATGAGGATTGTGACTGGTGACCATTTGCTTAGGAACATGTCTAAGGAAAATTGAAGCTTAAAGCTATTCATATGTACACATCACAAACAAATTATAACTCTGAAAGCATGATTGGTTTAATTGATTATGAAGAAGAGTTCACTTCTACTTTTTCTGTCTGCAATCATTCTATTTCTCCCGACCTCCACTCTTGACACTACTAAAATTGTCTGTTTAAATTGTCTATTTAAAATTGTACCTCTCATTATCCTTGCAACCTTCACTAATTTCCTCAATATGTAAAATAAATATTTGATTTGCAGCAGGTCTTTGAATGCATGAAAGTAGAGATATTTAGTGTACATTTAGTGTACAAAGGTATGATAAAGTGAATAAATGTGAGTTATGGAATGTTTTACAGGCAGTCCCTATCTTATAACCATATTGAATCCAGTGGTGGGTTTCAAAATTTTTTACTACCAGTTCTGTGGGCATGGCTTGGTGGGTGTGGCGTGGCTTGGTGGGCGTGGCTTGGTGGGCATGGAAGGGGAAGGATACTGTAAAATCTCCATTCCCACCCCAATCCGGGGAAGATTACTGCAAAATCCCCATTTCCTCCTGATCAGCTGGGACTCGGGAGGCAGAGAATAGATGGGAGCGGGGCAAGTCAGAGGTGGTATTTACAGGTTCTCTGAACTACTCAAAATTTCCGCTATTGGTTCTCCAGAACTGGTCAGAACCTGCTGAAACCCACCTCTGATTGAATCTAACCAGCATTTGAAGTCTCCAGTTCATGGGTCCAAAGAAGCGGAATATTTTGGTTGTGATACTTTGCAGGCAACACCATACATTAATGTTTTTTGATATCTGTAAGTACACCAATCAATTGTATGTATGTTGAAATTTCAAATATGGTCATCAAACAGTTTTCAAAACTTATGGAATCAGATACCAAATCCATATATCACAGCATGTACAGAGAAAAAGAAAAGGCAATAACCTTAGTTTTATTTGCCAAGAAACTTAATATTTAGTTAAACCACTCTAGAGAAAGAAAAGCTTCATTTAGAAGGCTTTGATAAATATTAATATATGTAGTTATGTTGTGATTCATTTGTACTCTGGAATCTAAGAGTTCAGTACATCTGTAAGGACTTATAGTACTTAAGAGATGATTGTAGAAGACATATGGTTTAATCATGATGTTTTTAAGCCTTTTTTATCTTCTTACAAATTTAATTTTTTTCTTTTTCTAATTTAAGAAATAGTGCATTATTGACTGCAGCAATGGACCATTATTAATACAACAAATATAATTTATAGTGCAAATATAAACAAAAAAACAACAACAGAATAGTACATATGTAATATACCTATTAAAATCTAACCATAATGGTTTAATAATGCAAGTGTTAATCCCTGGATCCTTTTATTATTGTTAAATATCTTATCTATGTGTGGATTTTCTATAGAAACTCATTTTATAGCAGAGTAAATCCTCAGCATAAGATAATGAAAATTGCAGAAGGGCCCCACAATTTATACTGCAGCATTAATATGTTGATGTGGCTAAATCTATCTTCTCACAGCAATTTATTTCACTAAAACTATGTTGCTAATTTATTTCATTGAAATGAGCAGAACTGTTGTTTAATTTTTGAAATGGCTTTTTTTGAATTTTGTGAAATCTGATCAAAAAGCCTTTATTCTCTATTTAGTTTTGAATGTTTTCTCACCACTTCCTTCTGTTGGCCAGCATATTGTCCAAACCTGCAAAATTACTATAACTCTTACTATTACAAAGTCATATTCCAAAATATGCTCTCTCTATTTTCCTGACTTTCTACCTGGTTGTCCTATTGGTGTAGAACACATATATAGTATCAGTGAGTTTTGTGCAAATTCCCTCCCATTGATTTGAAGAATTCTAGATAATAAAAGACTTGCTGTGTTCATTGGAAAAACATGTTTGCTGAATATTTATCAAATTCAAATTATGTCAATTGAGGCAAAATTACTGAATGTGCTTGTATATGCAGAAGCAGAACAAGTCTTGGAATCATTGTGGCTATTTCCATCTTTTGTTGCATTCATAGTCCATTCATCATCTTCAAGTGCTTTTCATCACCCTACAGTCCAATGATTTTATAAGTAAGGTTCTTGTTAATACTGTTTCCAATGAGTGTTAAGTGTTAACCATAGTGGTAAATACATAATGAATTGCAAAGATTACTATTTGCAGAGACTATTGCTCAAAGAAAATATCTTTATATACTTACAAAGAGAGAGAGAGAAAGAAAGAAAGAAAGAGGGAGGTCGAACGAGAAAGGAAGCAAAATTAGGTAATATATAGTGGTGTGTGTGTATAAATAGTGTAACTGTTGCAGACAAAACAGCAGGTGCATAATAACCTGATAATCCCAGAACCCTCCAGAAATGTCACACGGGGGGGGGGGCATTGATTTCTCTCTTCTGACAAAAAGCTGACTTTGCTGCCAAAGCTGGCTCTTTGACAATATGCTCCCCAATTTTGAACTGGAGTAACTTGGAATAGTCCATGATGATCCTTAAATAACTGTGTTTCCCTGAAAATAAGACCCAGTCTTATTTTCCTTTGGCCCCAAAATAAGCACTTGGGCTTATTTTCGAGGTCTTTTTTTTTTTTTTCATGACAAGGCCCAGTGACTAAGCTTGCTATTGTAGAAAAGGGAGGCTTGAGACCTTTCCGATAAAATAATACTCAACTCAAATGATAGCTGCACACTTTAAATCCCATCGTTCCCATAATATCATTTTTTCGGAGTTCCTTCTTGTGAATTCTTGATCAACTCATTCTGTCATGATGTTGCATATTGAAATACCAATGCAGCAGAGTGCTTTCTGTGTCTTTAATGAAACATGCATAATGCATTTTATCTTCCCCTTAATTTCTGGCGGGCTAAAGATAGAAAATGAGATGTGGGCTGCATCATGGAACCCTTCTCTAAATCTATTTTTTTGTGGCCTGCCCACAGGCATATTTATTATTATTATTATCAACCTGGATCTATTTGTTGACAGTTTGAAGATTTACAGGACGTAAATCTGTTTTCTGTTATTAATGTGGAGATGAGAAGCATTATGCATTATAATACAAAATTACTTCTAGAATAATGGAGCTTCATGCATTAGCAATGGCTAATTAAGTTCTGAAGCTCCTTTCAAAGACTTCAAAGTAGCCTTTGACAAAAATAAGTGATGTAGTTTTCTGGTAGCTTTATACACAGCTTTATATAATAAATACAGACTTTGTTTGCCACCTTGAATTATTTTTTAAAAGATAATAAAGGTGGGAAATAAATAAGTAAAATATAATAGATTTAACAATGCTACAATATCCAGAGTGTAGCATCTGTAGTTACTCATGAACTTAAAGCCACGTTACTACTTTGTACTATTATTACCTCTATCTTGGCAGTTATCCAGGTTATTCTTCCTTCTTTCACAATAATGTCTCCGCATATTCAAATGCACAAAAACATTTGACTATTGAACTGATCTCATGCTCCAAGGTAGTCAAGTTGATCCAAATAGATATATGGCTGAGACAAAACAAATTTGACATTTTGATTTAAAGAGAACTCTCTATGATGTGCTGATAGCTTTATCTAAATCATGTTTTATCATGCTTACATTTTCTTAAGTGGTTTCAGTATTGACCAACTGCATTGAAACACGTTTTATTGGAATCTTGCTTTTTAATTAGATTGCATGCTGGTTCCAATGAGTTATGCCTTTCATTAATAACAAATGATGTCATGGTCATAGGACAACCTTTTTTGCCCTTTAATCTACAAAGAAATACTCATTTTATGTACATTCCACCAGCTACCAAATGCTGTTTACTTTCTGTGACTGCTGAATGTTTATGTATGTCCACCTCATCAATTAGGAGCAAATAGCTCAGAAAGGATGTGTTCTTAGCATCTGAGTAAATAATGGAGATTGATAAATGAAATTTACTAAATCAAGATGAAATACATTTCTAAGGCTGCATTAGCTCTGCTTTCAGTCAGAGAGAGAAAATAAAATTGATTATCTGATCACAATTCAAGGTCAAAGGTCTTTAACAGAGGTGGCTGACACTTAGGTTAATGACAAGCCTCAAAAATGACAGGATGAGAGAAATTTTCATCTAAAAATCATGAAGGCCTTTCACATCTATGTGTGTCAGAGTATCCTGTCAGTAAAATCACCTATTTTCCTTGGTTCAAATCTACTCCAAGAAACTAAACATGGATATATATTTTCTTGCATGTAAAAAAACTACTTCCACTTTCCTAGCAGCCATACTAAAAAGGCTTCTTTGAATTAGATGAACATTTCTGAAGAAAAGAAAATGCCTCACTGTTCTTTCTGTCTACTTCAGTTGATCTTCCTGATCAAAATTTACAGTTTACCCAGGCCACAAGAAAGGGATAATAGAAGAAACCTGGATATTGCTGTTGTAATGGATGCTATGGGCTCAAAGTAATTTTTCAAGTGCTAAGGCTGATTATTTCCTTTGGATAATGTTTTATCTGAAGATGTTCAGACTACCTTCTCAGTTATATCCCTGCCATTATAATTAGCATGCCAGAGGCCAGACACTTTTCCATTTTTTTTCCTTTTTCTGCAGAGACAAATTGCTGAAAGTTTAGAGCTGCCAAATGAGAAATGTGGACAGCCATAGGCATCTGTTACAAAGCAAGATGATGGAAAAAATGATGGCACGTGCACTGCAGAGTCATACCACAAAGCCTTGTCTTTTGTATTTGTACCCCAATATTGGTCATAACTACATAAGTAGCAGGGTTTGTTTCTTGACACTTGTTCCATTTGCCTCTTTCCAGTGCCTTTTCTTAGCAGCAAAAGAAGAATCATAAAAGACCCAGAGTATTCAAATGATGAGATATTTGAAAACTGATTCATTTCATTAACTGTTATAGTGAAATCTCTGCTGTGAACTGTTCTCCAGTGCCTCAAAAATGTTTTTGGTCACCACACTATTAAAAAAGATGCCGAGACTCTAGAAAGAGTGCAGAGAAGAGCAACTAAGATGATTTGGGGACTGGAGGCTAAAACATACGATGAACGGTTACAGGAACTGGGCATGACTAGTCTAATGAAGAGAAGGACCACGGGATACATGATAGCAGTCTTCCAATATTTGAGGGCTGCCACAGAGAGGAGGGGGTCAAGTTATTTTCCAAAGCACCTGAAGACCAGACAAGGAATAATGGATGGAAACTGATCAAGGAGAGATACAACCTGGAAATAAGGAGAAATTTTCTGACAGTGAGAACAATCAATCAATGGAACAGCTTGCCTTCGGAGGTTGTGGGAGCTTTATCACTGGAAGCTTTCAAGAAGAGACTGGACTGCCATCTGTCAGAAATGGTGTAAGGTCCCCTGCTTGGGCAGGGGGTTGGACTAGATGACCTACAAGATCCCTTCCGCTCTGTTAATCTGTTAATCTGTTTTTCCCTATGTAAAGAAAGGATGAATTTCTACCTCAGTGTGGCTTTTGAGCCTACCTTATTGTTAGCAGTGGCCTTGACGCTGTTATTCTACTGAAATCTTCATGACTGACAACCCCTCTCAATGTGAAATTTGAATAACAACAGCAACATTATCAAAAACTTCCCATATAATGTGGATCCTTTGAATTACATTTGTGATAAGCCACTGGAGAGACAATTAAGCAACTTAAAGGAGGACATTCATATACTCCTCATTCACTTCATCAGTAAACACAAGACCACCTCATAAGTATTTCACCAATTGGTTTTTATTTCGATAGCAAATCTTCTTTCATCAAATGGAAGAAGAATTGGTTGAAAGAAAGAGGAGAAACTTGATTGCACAACTGTGACGACGGTGATAAGGGATTCTTACACTCTGGTCATGATATTTGGGAAAAGTGGAACAGCAAATATGCAGTGAACTACTGAACAACAAGTGAAAATGAAAGGAAAGGAGAGAGGAATTGAAAAATAACAGTTGCTTTTCTAAGAATCCCTCATAATTTATGGATGCTTCCCACTAGATGGAACATTCAGTAAAGAACAGAACTCTAGTTGAAATTATGAGCTGCTCAACAGATAGATTATTTTTAAAATCAAAGAAGCGATCTTGTATCCAAGGAATAACTGCATTTTTGTGGTGGTGGTCGTGATTGTTCTACAAGCTACTTCATCCTTCACGAGCTTTGATTACAGTACATTCCTTCAATAGTGCAAGTTTAGGGTGAAAAGGTTGATGGAAGTAGGTCTGACAACAGTTTTGTAGTGGTGATTGATCCTTCTCAGTCTCTTGATGTATATAACTAAAATGCTACTTTATTTTATTTGCCTTCCTTCAAGTACATCATCTTAACAGCAGCATTGGCGGTTGCTTCATTTTAAGTTACAGAGTTCCAAAATGCCTCTCCACCATGTGCTGTACTATCAATCACTTCTCTGGCATAACATAGATTCATTACCAATAGAATAGATTCATTAGACAAGCTGAATCAAAATCGTGACTAATTCTGGGTATCAGTCTGCCTTATGAGGCAAACCTCATCACCAGGTTGCCCTAATATTTATTAAATATTTTCACTGGAAAGACCCATTAAAGGGCCCTACAGACTAGGAGTGCAATTGAAACCCCCCTAGAATGGAAATATCTTATTAATTCATTAAGTCAAACTGCTTGTATCTACACTTGTATGACTAGAATTATGGTTCATTAACTTCATTTCTTTATATGAGTTAATTAGCTCAGAGGAGGCCAGAAATTAATTACCAGCATATATAGTTTGTGCAGAATGGCATTCTATTTATTTAGTTTCTCCTATTAACTTTTAATCTCTTCAAACAATAAAAGAGGTAATTAGTATTTTATAAACAAAAAAAAATTAAATGCAACAAAGGCAAATAATCGGCCAAATAGGGAAACTCCTGTGTGAAACCTGGTGCTTGTATAGTTCAAGTAGCAGACCTTTTCATAGTTAACTATGAGCAAAGGGGGGCTCCAAGAGGTAAGGCAGTTGACAAAAATCTATCACTAAAGAAAAACTAGTGAGTAGAATCTTACATGGGAAGAGCTTGGAAGTTTCCAGCTGCTTGAAAATAATTGCCCATATACTCAACTACAGTAACAATTTGGAAAAATAAAATCCCTGGAAACTAAAATATATACATACGGAGGCACACAGTCACAGAATTTAGGGTACAGTAATAATAACAATGAGTGTGTCTGTGTGCGTGTTTGTGTATATATCTATATATTCACACACACTTGTGCACGCATACGCATACACACATGAATGCATATATATATAATGCCATTTATGTAACAGTGGAATTTATTCAAGGGGTACTTTCAAATTTGAAGAGAAAACAGTTTATAGTTGCTTTACTTTATTGTTTCAAGGAATAAACAAATGAAGCTTTACATTATGTGATACATATCCTATGTATTTATAGTATATGATTACTTGCTGTGACCAACTGCATAGACTTCTCTTGTTTGGGTTGATTATTTTAAAAATACATCTTGCTATGTAAAGTTTTGCTAAGGAGATTTTTACATGTCCCATTCATGCTCATATCCAATGTAGGACATCAAGCCCAAGACTATCTTATACAACTTAGACAACTTAGAACTACACCGACTAAACGTAGTACATAAAATTATCTGCCACAATGTCCTATCTGTCAATGACTACTTCAGCTTCAACCACAACAATACACAAGCAAACAATAGATACAAACTCAAGGTAAACTGCTCCAAACTCGATTGCAGAAAATACGACTTCAGCAACAGAGTGGTCAATGCCTGGAATGCACTACCTGACTCTCTGGTTTCTTCCCCAAACCACCAAAACTTTAACCTTAGACTGTCTACTGTTGACCTCAACCCATTCCTAAGAGATCTTTAAGGGGTGTGCTTAAGCGCACAGGCGTGCCTACTGTCCCTGTCCTAATGTTCCCTTTTATATGTATCCGTTTCATGTATTCATAATTATGTCTATACTTATATCTGTTATCTTATATATGCTTGACAAATAAAATAAATAAAATAAAATCTTATCTTATATAGCCTGCTCCACGTCCATAGATCATTAAGCTGCTCAGAGTTACTTGATAGTGAGATGGGCATCATATGAATGAATGAATGAATGAATGAATGAATGAATAAATGAATAAATAAATAAATAAATAAATAAATAAACAAACAAACACAAACAAACAAACTGGTATCCAGACACCTTCCCATGAAGGCATTTAACAGCCACACTAATTTCTGATTCTTCAGTGTTGGGGCTCATGTTATGGAAGAAACGTAACAGAACTGAAGGAGGCAAAAAACCTATATATTAGGTCTTTTCATGGCCTATACGATATAATTCCAAAACATAATACAGTGGTGGAATTCAAATTTTTTTACTATCGGTTCTGTGGCCATGGCTTGGTGGACGAGGCTTGGTGGACGAGGCTTGGTGGGCATGGCAGGGGAAGGATGCTGCAAAAATCTCCATTTCTTCCCTACTCCTGGAGGAAGGATATTGAAAAATCTCCATTCCCACCCCACTCTGGGGCCAGCCACAGGTGGTATTTGCCAGTTCTCCGAACTACTCAAAATTTCCGCTACTGGTTCTCCAGGACCTGCTGAATTTTACCCCTGATATAATAGTATACTACTACGGAAAATAATTTTTAAAAATGAAGTAATATAATGGGATTAAGAAATACTGCATGATTAGCGTAGTTGAGGAAAAGTTAAGAAGAGGTAGTCATCAAAGGTAAACCAGGAGCTATTGCCAGATTAATTCTGTTTTTCACCTGCTTTGAACTGAAATGGCTTTTGTCAGTAAGCAGTGGGTGCTTGACAACACAATCCATGTATTGTGTCTTTGTCCGTTTTATAAAAATGCATAGGTACATTTTGTACTCCTCTTATTAACTAAATTTCTAGTTAATTTGAATTCATTTTATGTATAAGTCTCATTGTAAGACCTTTTGAACCCCCATCAAATATTGTCCGTAAAACATATTGCAGCCAATCATGTTGATTATTCAGTTATTATTTTTATTTTTAATCTGCAACCCAGTATGTGAAAGTAATATTCATATGGATACAGACAAAAACATAATCCAGCCAATAGTGAATACTTTTCAATAGAATGCTTGTAGGAGCATATATTAATTTCTATTCTGGATCACATTTATAGCTTGATATCCTTCAGCATATGGCATTTATTCTAAATACAATGTTTTGAGTTGTTGATCAGGAATACTGTATTTCAGCTTTAATTGGCTTATCAAAAATATCTAAAGAAAAGATCCTCTGACTTTTTGGTGATCTCCTTTGCACTCTTTGGTGACATCTATGATAGATAATTTGAATGTTTTATGTTTGAAGATAGGTTTTGAGACAGCTGATAAACTTCCCTTGGTTCAAAATACTGTTCTGTTCTGTTCTGTTTGTTTGTTTATTTGTTTGTTAAATTGAAAGGCTGCCTGACTCCATAAGACTATGTTTATAAAAGCAAATTTATTAGACTTATAGTACCTATCTATGATATACTAAGGTTGCTAGTTCCTGATTCAGCCTCTTGTCCCAATAATGATCTTTAATCACACTAGTAGGTAACAATTCTTAGTCTGAATGTATGCCTCTATCTAGGACTTTGTAGCACCATGCAGCCCATTTATCAGTAAAAAAATTGTGACTGGGTTTGCCAGCAAATTCTGGTGACAAATGACCATGAAGTAGTTTCTCTATAATGTTTGAGTTGATTTTGGTTAAGAAGACATTGTGAATAAAATATTCAAACTGACATAAAGGTAAGATTTCTGGATAAACTTTATATTAAATTAACCTTTCATCATATTTTCATCTGCTCTATCTAACCTAATGATATATTTTTTATATCTAGTTGAAGTTCAAATAAACTTTCCCTTAAAGCATTCAAAATGCATGTGTTATTCATAATATTAATTGCAGCCCATCAGTGGACACTACAATATGTTCAGCATTTTAATGGAACATTTCTACCAAGGGCAACTTTATAAATCTGTGTAGTTTAACAACATGATTCTCCATTGGAGCAAGCAACAAAGTACTGTACATTATGTAATTTTATATTGTAGCATTGTGAAAGTAAAGGAATTATATAATTGTTCAAGGCACACTGAATCCTGAAGCAATAATTCACAGTCACTATTGGAAAATTGTATTCAGGGTTTCATTAAAGTCTTCATTACATTCGTTTGCATCATCAGAATTGATTTTAATCTTTGATAAAAGAAAGTATTTTCCTTTTCTAACCTGTCAGCTCCACACTTTATTCTGCCTTTATCTTAAAATCTCTTGATGTGGAACAGCTGCCATGCTTAACCCGATTAACATATAGGCATGGGTTCTTTATTGCCAGCAAGTTTTATGGCACAAATCATAGAAATTCAGAGAGCCAGGGAAATGATCCAGCTGCCTATTCAGTTACAGTGACTTATGGTTGAAACTGTTCTTTACTTGCAAAAGGATATCTTTTTAATCTACCTTCCATGTAACTTTGTGACTGTACCTGTAGAATACTTCCATTATTAGATTAACTGAACATTCACCAACACTTGGCACTTTTCAAAAGAGGAGGATGAGGAGGAGGAGAATTTGGAACATGAGCACTGCAAAGCTGATTTCTATTTTATGGCCTTGGAAGTCATTTGGATCCAACATCTAGACAAAAGATAGAAACAGATCCCAGGAACTTGGGAACATATGAGACAGCTTGTGATACCTCTGACAATGACTAGAGAAAAAAGAAAATGGATCATATAGCAAAAGTAACAATGTGACTTTACTTTAATCCTTAAAAAAACCTGGCATTCTGAACATAAATAGAAAAATAGCAATAGCAATAGCACTTAGACTTATATACCACTTCATAGTGTTTACAGCCTTCTCTAAGCAGTTTACAGAGTCAGCATATTGCCCCCAATACTTTGGGTCCTCATTTTGCCGACCTCAGAAGGATGGAAGGCTGAGTCAACCTTGAGCTGATCAAGATTGAACTGCTCACAGTTGGCAGAATTAGCTTGCAATACTGCATTCTAACCACTGTGTCACCATGGCTCAAATCAGATGGATGACTGACTGAACAATTGGAAGTGCTTAATGAAAAGTGTTGCTCATATTTTCAGGTTCCCAAATCAATTATACTACCATATCTGGCAGTCCGGAATTTTTTTTTTGAACTGAATTTCCCTAAAAGAGTATCCCTTGTCATACAAGAAGCTAGTATCTTTCAGTCTCTTATTCAAAAAATAAAGCTCAGATCACTACAGGAGATGGATCATGGGACTAGACAAGGATAACAATTTTTCCCTAGTTCACTTATTATAAGAATTGTATTTGTATATAGGATTTTTTTTAAAAAAGAAATATTTTATTTTGAATGTTTAATTATACATTTAAATGTTTAACACACACAAATAAATGTAATAAAAATGATCTTTCCCTCCAAACAACTTAAAACACAATATGTTAATCACACACAATCATGAGATCGGTTCATGAAATTGAAGTTTAAAATTTAAAAGTGAATTTCTTCATTTATGACTCTGGTGATGAATTAAGATGAATTCCTATTTTTCTGTCAGGTGGTTTATTTTTACCAGCGACATGGGAGTCAAATGCTCTACCATATATTCTGGGAATAGTTAGCAGCTGAATGAGAAGCTTGTTTCATTTTAGACTCTGAAAATAATATCATGAAATTAGAGATTTTTCCATAAAAATGGGAGACTCTGAAACTATCTATTCAATTAATCTATCCTTACCAAACTCTACACTTTGCCTGTTGTTTGGAGCTATCCAAGGTGCTGATATCATCACACTGCAGCCCTGAGCCATTATCATTCATAGATAACACAAAGCTGTTGAAGTTGGTGATCCTTAGACCCCAACCTACTCCTGGCTTGACCTCAACACTGAAATCAAAATTATTTGTCCGTGGTGTCTGTGGGTGTACCTATTATAAATAAATAATATGGCGAACAAGAAATGGGTAATGTTCTTTCAAAAAGATGGTCTATGATCTATGAGACTGTTTGTGGCTACTTGTAATTGACCCAGTGGGTTTCAAGCATAAAGGGGAACTTGACCTGAATATTCCTAATCTTAGATTAATTTAGTACTATTAGTTTATAGTAGTTGTTGTAGTAGTACTATCAGTAGTATCAGCAGCAGCAGTGATATCAGTACTATTAAGCTTGGGACTCTGATAGCACAAGTCACCCCTTTTCCTGATCATAGTTATACATATCAGAAGGGTCTTCAGATGCTGTTTTATGTTATTTATTTTGGTTGTTTTTCTTTTTTTTAAATCTGATTTTATTCTATTTTAACTGTTAGCCACTTATAATCAGGTATATGAGATGGGCAGCCAATAAATAAATAAATAAATAAATAAATAAATAAATAAATAAATAAATAAATAATGACCATTAGTAAATAATCTAATAGGGAGGAGGTTATTTTTCTGGAAAATCATGAGGTTTTAAAAAACTAAAACATATTTACGTAAAGGTTTGGGTGTACGTGAGACAGAGATGAATGGCAAGTGAATATGTTTGGTACATCTAACATAGAATGTTAGATGTATAAAGAGGGATGGTGTGAAAAAAATATGTAAACTAGTGAAAATACTTGTGCCCTTCTCCTTCTCTTTACTTTTTAAGGACTCTAATTTGAAGGATTGGAAAACTTGGTTCAGCATCATTGATGAAAAACTGGAAGAATGAAAAAGACTCAGAAGAAAAAGAAAAAGAAAAAAGAACTGAAGTCCCAAGAAAATTCTGAGAATGTCAATCTCATAGATCAGGGGTGTCAAACTGAAGATCTGCAGGCCGGGCTGGCTCATGGGATGCTTAGATCTGGCCCACAGGGCTGCCCTGGAAACAGCAAAGTACTGGTACACGGTGCCCCTGCCAGTGAAAACGGAGCTTGAGTGAGCTCCATTTCTGCTGGCAAAGGGCTAGCAAAATAAACTAAAATCAAAACAAAAGGAGAGATGTTTCCCCTTTTGCATTTGAGCAAGAAGGGACAGGAAAGGAGAAAGAGGAAAGACAAAGAAAAAGAAGGAAAGATGGAAAGAGAGCAAGGAAGGAAAAATAAGGAAAGGGGAAGGAAGAAGAAAGGAGAATGAAGACGGAAGGAAAAGGAAGGGAGAAAGGAGATTATAATGAGAGTGTGTGAGGGTCTGGGGGAAGTCCTGCCTTATCGCTTGGTCACCATAAGTGCCTCCAACATGAGTGATGTGAGCTGGCCATGCCCACCGCAGTCCCCTGAGGTCAAACACAACCCTGATGCAGCCCTCAATGAAATTGAGTTTGACACCCCTGTCATAGATGGTGGAGAACATCCTTGGCAGAGAATTTCTGAAGGTACTGACTAACTGCATTACACCAAAGCCCAAAAGGCTGGCAATAGGGCAAAAGCCAGGACTATAGCAAGAAAAGGGGCCAAAGGATACAATTTTTCTTGCCACATTTGTTAAGTGAATCACTGCAGTTGTTAAGTTAATAGCATGGCTTTTAAGTGAATCTGGCTTCCCCATTGACTTTGCTTGTCAGAAGGTTGCAAAAGGGGATCATGTGATCCCAGGACTCTGCAACCATCATAAATGTGAGTTAGTTGTCAAGCATCTAAATGTAAATCAGGTGACCATGGGGATGCTGCAAAGGTCATAAGTGTGAAAAATGGTCATAACTCACTTTTTTCAGTGCCGTTGTAACTTTGAATGGTCACTAAGTGAACTGTTGTAAGTTGAGAACTACCTGTATACACACCCAAGGACCCAGCACACTGATGATTAGCCTAAACAAATAAATATTAAAAATCAAACCATCCTTCATAGCAGCAGAAGGTGAATTGACAGTTTTTAAATGTGCCATTCTGTTCCAGTCCCATGGCAAATGTTTCAACACAATACTACCCTGTTTCCCCTAAAATAAGACATCCCCTGATAATAAGCCCAATCGGGCTTTTGAGCACATGCGGTAAAATAAGCCCCCCCCCCCCAAAATAAGCCCTCCCTGAACATATATAAATGCATGCGCAGCTGGTCCCTGCCATTTCCTCTAGTTAGGGAGACATAACTGGAAATCAGGTAAGATGGCAAGAGGAGCCCCGTCTTGCTCCACATGCCCCAAAATAATAAGACATCCTTGAAAATTGATCTGTCCCCGTCTACACACACACACAAACACAGCCAGCCGAGGGTTAAGAAAGTACTTGGCACGCACACAGGTCGTTATCTCAAACTTGGCAACAATATAAGCACCGTCTGCCAAGAGTTTTACTGCAACAGATAACACAAAATTACATACGCATTGCAAATAGTCCAGCAAAACAATATCCCTTCGGCAGCTTCAGACGTTGTTCAAGTGACTAGCCAGAGTTAGTTTTTGTTCGTCACGGAGTTTTACCAGCCACCACCCTCTCTTATATAGTCTCTGGGGTGTGGTCCAGTGACTCAGTTCTAATCCCTAGCACGCCTCCTTAACTGCTGCAACCATTTATCACGCCTTCGTTGGCATGCATCCAGGAACGACGGCTCTCCTTCCTCGCCCTCATCAGAGACACCTGGCTCCTGGCTAATCTCCTCTCCCTCGGCCGGCACCTGAGACAGTGCCAGAGGGGAGGGGCCTGGAGAGGGAGGCCTGGCTGACTCCTCTCCCTCATGTTCGGAGCCTTCTTCCTCCGATGAGATAGGCTCAGAGGGCAGGGCCACAACAAAAATAAGGCCAAGCACTTATTTCGGGGTTCAAAAAAATATAAGACAGGGTCTTATTTTCAGGGAAACATGGTAGCTGTACATACAAGTGACTTTGGGCCAGGGCTAGCTGTAGAGGGTAGAAGTAGCATCGAAGTTGTGAAAATATAAGAAAAAATAGAACTCAGATAAAGTAGAATATTGTATAAAAAGGTATAGTTTAGGTGTAGGACAAAGGATAAATGTTAAGATACAGTATAAGGTAAAGCTACAAGAGAGAAAGTGAAATGATAGACAAAACAAGGCAAAATATTATAGGCATAATGTGATAAAAGACAAGCAAAGTAAAACCTATTTCTGAATCAAGAGTCCAGCATGTCAAATGTCTGTTAACCACCATATTTATTTGGGCCGTTTGCAATAAAACCCCAAACAGAACTTGTCTTACTTCCTGCCTGAATTTGCTAGCATTCCTAAATACAACCTACAGCAAGGGGAATGGTATGTTGAATGTAATAAACAAATAAATATCTTCCAATAAATTATATGCCGAAGCCCACCACTATGAGAGCCAAAAAAAAAAGTGATGAGGATGTTGCATTCTTTAAAATGGTAGGAAGTATTGGTCAATAGTGTCAAAACATTCGGCTAACAACATTTGTTTGGTAATTCTCTACCAGGTAGTACTTGTACTTTAAATAGTATCGGCAATTATTTCTGAATATGAACCATATAAACCCGTGATGGCGAAGACCATCACGTGATGGAGCCCTCTCCGTGGGCACCGGCTGTACTTCTGGGTTGCGTTGCGCGCATGCGCACCTGCCAGCTGCTCTCTTCTGGTTTCCGTCTCACGCATGCACACCAGCCAGCTGCTCTTTGCGCAAAGACCACTGGTCGGCATGCATGTGTGCACCAGAACCCAGAAGAGAGCAGCTGGCTGGTGCGCATGCGT